CCCCAAAACCCCAAAACCCCAAAACCCCAAAACCCCGCTATATCAAATCAACTTAAAAAATCTCAGAATTAAAATATAATAAAGATAAATCATTTTATTGTTGTACTTTTTTGTTTTTCAGCATTTTCAAGCAACTATTTCAAACTTTCTCTCACATATTTTTCAAATGCATCTTATTTAGTTTTCATTTCATTGATGTTTTTAAGCATCGTCTCATTATCCTTTTGATGAGTGCTTTGAATGAGTGTAAGATTTTGTATCATTTCATTTTTAGATTTAACCACAGCATTTCTCAAAGTATTTTTTATATCCTTTATGAAACCTTGCCATTCCCCTAAATTAATCAATGATAGCCAAAATAATTTTACCATTTTCTTAGGACTCTTAGTTTACCTGCCTTCTCAAAACTAAGTACTAAGGAAAATTCTTTTCACTCATTAGTTGTTTCTCGGAAAAGAATTATTCTCTTTCGCGGATCATTGATACTTTGACTTTGAAAGACTCTGCAATGATCTTCTACATTACTTTCTCGTAGGATTCAGAGATAACTGCAATAATAAAGTTCATGAACACAACATTAAGAGCAATCACTGCTACTATCCAGACAATCCAAGTTAGAATTACCAAATACTATGATTGTTCTCTATATTTGTCGGTGGAAAAATCTCCTGCAGCAATTCTAAATATCATTAAGTAGTATCCAAAAGCATCGACTCCTTCATATTCTTCAATTGGACTAGCTTTAAATAGCACTGTAAAGATTAACCCAAACTGGACTATGAATATCAAGAAAAAGGCAATAAAAAATTTTAGATCTTAGAATACCTTGGCAATCATTTAAACAAGAAAGCTGAATCCTTCATAAATTCTTAGGAAGTAATACAGCTTCACAAAAGATAGAGTAATGACTATAATAAACATCAACACAACACTATCCACACTATCTGATACAAATTCAATGATATTAAGAACTATATAGGCTAGGAAAAGAAATACATCAACCACATTCCAAAATCTATTTAAGTAATTAATACTTTATCTCTGCATTTAACTGATTTCCTTTAATAGAAAGAAACAAAGTATTCCAGCGCTAATCACTTTATTGATTATGATTAAATATGTCTTTCTTGAATCAGTTTCACTTTAATGATTAATTTATCCTTAAAATGTTTGATGATATATCTCAAATATCAATGATGCTATGAAAATCAGATACACAAAGAATTATAATTAGAAGAAATCTTTTGTATATTATTTCCATTTAAACTTAATGATTGTCTATATGACCATGTTTTCAAAGTATTCATGATTATTAGTTTCACTCAAAATTTCCATTAATAATAATTTCTATTCAGAAATAGTGACTGGCAAATTTATCAAGAAATACTCAAGGGAATATTTTATACTGCTTGCTTGTTTCTTTTGTTATTTATCTACAAATAAGATGTCATATTTGTTATAAACATCTAGAACATTGACTAAATTAATGCCTTGAATTAATTCTCTGCCATCCTCATTAATATAAGGTAATAAAGAATCGAATATTTGATAAACTGGAAGTTTACTTTAAAAGTAATCTTAAAGATCTATATTCTATTTAATTAGTTCACATATATTCTTGTCTAAAATTTCATTGTAGATAACATGATCTTAGTACCTTAGAAAATTATTCAAAAGCAAATTAACTATTTTTTGCTATCCATTTTCTAAATTGTAATCAAAAGGGGAATCCTTGGATCGTAGTCTATTAAGTATTAATATTGGAAGTTAATCCTTTTCAAGTAAATAAAGTTATTTGAATATGTATTCCAAAATATTTATGTCATGCTAAAATAAATTAATACAATTTCCTAACCCTGGAATGAAATCAAGATACTATTTGATTTAAGTTGACAGTAGCTCAATTACCTACAAAGGACTTTTAGAACTAAAATTTCTATAGTTCATAATATCATTATAACATGTCTTAATCTATAATTAACCAATAGGATGATTCTTATCTTAGAAATAATATTTCATGATGTTTCTGTAGAATTAAGTAAAATCAGCATCCTTGAAATAATAAGCAATTAAAATAGGGTCATATAAGTTGAAATACCTTTCTTGCTTTTAAATATTAAAAATTTTAGTGTAGAAATAATGAACTTGATTCATACCAATTTATAACCGAGATTCATTAGAGTTTATTAATCTTTATCAGTATTAATAATCCATTATTATAGCTCTAAAATGCTATATTTATATTGATTTTGTTATATTCTTGTTTTTCAAAAAAATAAACTCATGAAATGTAATTTGCGAAGGTGTTATAGAAGGTGAAGATTAATTATAAAAATAATGGATGAATTCATCATTAATCTCAATCATTTAAGCGATAGCCTTTTTAATTGTCAATCCTGGGATTAATTATCCATTATTCAAATTATAAACTAGAATATTATTTCTATAATTCAAAATTACTATTTCATGATATTTATCTATTATTCCAGATATATAATTTTAATAGTCATCATCAATCAATTCAAATTACTATATAGGTATTATATTTACCTGCTGACTTCTAATATCAAAAATTTAAAGCTTATTATCTAAATATTAAGCTAGATAGACTCCACTATTATTTCTCTCATCTATTAAAAATTCTAAACTAGATTCACTCTTTTGAAAAATCTCCTTAATATTGATTACTCTTCTACCATTCAATAGCACTTCTGTATCATCAATTATTCTTATAAATCTATCATGAGTTGACAAATCTTCTATTTTACAATCTCTAAATAATTAAAATCCTTCAAAGTCTCTAATTCTTAAGATATCATCTCTTGTCATATATTTAAGCACTTCCAAATCTTTATCAAGCAATTTTAGTCCAGCTAAATTTGAATTGATTTTGTCTATTTAAATTAAATAGTAATTTTCAAATTCTTGTTATTCATCCCACACACTTTACAAGAAAAATTAGTCTCCAATAAGGGATATCCTACTATTTTCGACAAGTGGATTCAATTAAACTCCATTTAGTTCCAAAGGATAAGCATCATATAATTCAGGGTAATTCGAAAAAATATGTATTTTTTTCATTTTTGTTTTTAAAAAATAGAAAGTTGAGTAATCTTCTTGATCAACTATAGTACCATAATAATCATCTGTTTTATTAAATGAGTAGCTATTAACAATATTAAAGGTTGTTATATCGTAAATATGGAGATCACATTAATCGTCTTCATGTTCAACTTAACTTTTAGAATATATAATTAAATAGCTTTGAAGTTTCTATGCAGATTTTATGCCATGATATTTATTGATTACCAATTAAGAAAGGCATTCTTTTTTCCCTGTTTGTGGACAGATAGCATTCAACTAGTTATCTACAGATATTGCATATTATTATTCAAGATTATCTACCTGTTTAAGAGTTTTCATTGCAACTTTTTCGATAAATTCATAATTAGCTTTCTTAAATACATAGCAGCAGAAGAAATGCAAATCTTCTATTATGATTTGTGAGTTATAACCTTTTGGAATAATCACTTTAGATTATTTAAACTAAATAGCGAATATATTAAAATCCTTCAATTGAATAATCTAGGTATTTTTTTCATACCCATTTATAGTTGCCTAGATATCACATTATTGAACCCATTCTTCTAATTACTGAAGCCTTGTAATAAATTCCTGGATATCTAATTAATTTTAATTTAACTCTATAAAAAAATGATATTTTTCTTTGATACTAATAACTGCTAAATCATTATAATGAAAATTAAAGTCATTTATCAAATTTTATTTAAATAGTTTTAGTCTGTTTAATTCGAAATTAAAACTATTAGAGAGTAAATCATCCAACTAAATTAATGAAAATCCATCTGATCTATCTTTTAAATAAATAATTCCATTTATTAAAACATATCTAGGAAATACTAAATCTAAATTCTCAATTGTCCTAACAACCTTGTTTAGTTTTAAGTTTCTAATTTGAAAAAAATGTTAGTTTTTACCGTCCTTTTACCTTTCAAATTTAATGAGAAGTAAATTTCTTATTTCGATGTGCATATGTGCTTTGATTTCGTACTCATAATCACTTGAGTATTCTTCAATTAAATCAATATCTTCCTCGATTTGATAACTTTTTAGATCGAATTCTTTTAACTTCTCAAAAATTGATGTGTATTCTTTATTTTAGTCTTCATTGGTAATAGCAGTGTAACGGCTTTCTCCGCCATATTACACTTTAGTTTCTTATTTAATTGGATTCATCTTAATTATTATTTCTAAGTAATTTCTAATCTCAAATGGACATTATTTACACTCTTGGGGTTTTGGGGTTTTGGGGTTTTGGGG